AATGTAATTGAAAATGAATTTTATTGTCTCGTTAATAAAATCTAAAATTCAATGAGTAACAATTGTTATGGGAACTAAGTATGGACACGAACGAGGCAAGGTTTTGTGTAAGAACCGGTCTCAAATATTTGCGGCTGACCTCGTGCCGTAGTTCATTCAATAACTTCGATAGATTGTACCTATGAACGTGCTTTTTACTAGCACTTTTTAAATGACAAATAGTACTACTACATATATTACTGGCATTAACAACTTTATTGCATGAGAATACGGTTGATTGTCGACTGGCTGTAGTTAAATTCGAACGCAGACTTGAATCAAGATATATGTGGATACAAGTGCTTGGAAAACATGCGAATAGTTTTTTGCCTTATATGAATATAGTCATACTTTGTAACAAGTGACTTTAAACATTTCTTCGTTACCTTGAATCCATAAGGCGTTCACGTAATGATAAAACAAGTTAGAAATACGCTGTTTATTTGTAGTTCCTTAGTATTAGTAATAGTAAAATATAGCCTATGTTACTCACAGATAAATTACCTTTCTAAAGGTGAAAGAATTTTTAAAATCCGCCCAGTAGATTTTGAGATATTTCAATACTTACAAAAATCTTTCCTCTTTATAATATTAGTACAGATAATAAAACTAGATTGAAATCAATTAAAAAGATAGCTTGGTACTCAGTACATGGCACATTTAAAAACAATGGACGCATTAAGAATCTCCCATCGTAATAAAAAGGTAACAAAAGATGGCGGCGTAATTTTTTTTAAATTGATTCCTGTACAAGAACACACAGATTTTTTTACAGAATTTAACTGGCACGTATTAAAATGAAAAAAAAACTTTTTAAGGGTTATCAAAGAAGGTTATTTTTAAAACAGATAAAACTGCAATGTTATTGCACGTTACACAAGGAAGCACATGTATGAAATATGTTATCATAACAACGGTCTTCCTAATCGCTGTCACTAGGGTGACCATGTTGTAAAATAAAAGGTAAAAAAATAAAGTCTTACGCACGAAACCTGTAAGGTCCATCCTTAATGGTAAACTATTATACGTAATATATAATACGAATAACTAAAAAACTATTAGGCGATTTCAAAATTTCATCTACCATTTTAAAAAGCTGCGTTATCAGTAACATATGCTGTTTTTTATTTTCGCGGAGACGAAATCGCAAGCAACAGCTAGTAAAGTATATTAATATCCAAAAATGAATATAATATCCATACACATAAAATTAAAAATCCGTACTTGTCCTGGTATAACTCATCAAACTTAACACTATTAAAAAGATGGTAAAGATAAGGTTTTAATAAATCTATTTAGTAACCAACTTCAAAACACGAGTTAAAAAATCGTAGATTTTCTGTTTATTCATAAATATTTATTTTACCATTCTAGCTAAGCTCTAAGCTTGTGCTAGGATAAGATTTATGGATTTGAACTCTCGACCAAGAGACCGGAAATCCGCACCACTAACCGCGACTATTGGCGCTTTCAATAAACAAATACAATCTTTCAAAATATTAAAACTTGGCAACCCTATTAATCGGTGTTATTTTCGGTTTACCTACTTGCAGCAATGCACGCTCGTATTGTACACATTACACGCTACAGACTACATTACACATTTCGGACTTCGTATTCCCCGCGCGTATACAATTCACGTAATTTTAAGATTCACTGGACACCGTAATAACTCAAGAACACGGATCTGTTAAATGCATTTTACGTGATTCTAATGTAATTATATTTATGTCCTGGTAGCTTTAATATAGTCAAATTTTGACTTATCAAAGGGCTTATCTGTCACAGATGTCTACCTCTTCTAGATAAAGGATAGGATAAACTGTGAAAAGTCCCACTTTTCCTCCGTCAAGTCCAAGTCTCGCATTATTTTCTATGCCTGTTTTTGTTTTTTGTTTAAAATTAAACGTCGTCAAAACATTATAAACCGGCCAGTCACCTGAACACTTTATGTAACGTCTAACATGACTACTTTTTTGCAACTGCAACAATGTTATGCTATAACCCGACTACCTGTCATTGCCATTGCTGTACTGGAATTGAACTAGTTATACTGAGGTCACCGAATACTCTATACTGTTATGTCCAATCTTATAATACCACTCGATTTACATAGTAGTAAACAGAGAGAGAAGTTTTAAAGCTTAAAATGGACTCTATTAATAGACAATAATTACAACTGTAGACACATAATATCGTCAGATCTTTTAGAGATTGTTATAAGTCAGACCCTAAGTTATATTAGAAAATATAATACTTCTCAACAAGGTTTCTCTTGAAACTGCCTTCCGCAGTCGTGTTGTGGAATAGTTTGTCTTCGGTGGTATTTAAAACCGCTACACGTTTGCCCTCTTCTCTTATTAAATGTTTATGTAAATTGTTATTATATTAATTAGTTATGGCAGAATCATTTACTAATTTTATTTTTTAATCAAGTCTGTCACTCAACGGGATACTGAGGAGTCAATTAACGGATGTTTCATGTAACATTTTAAAGTCTTAGTGCTTACATCTAGTTATAAAACTGGCTTACGACTGGTTACTTCTTAGTAGAGAGCTTGTAGGTTGATAGAGTTATTCTGTGACTTGAAGAAGCATTTCAATAAAATACATTTCAGCATTACAGAAATTGATATTTGAATATTAGTAAAGCCTAAATGTATTTTAAATGATACAGAGTATTAAAGTTCATTGCTATTGGCACATTGTAAGACAAAATACCGGTGCGGGCCTTCCGCGTTGGCTCCATAGGTATTTGCGTTGCCACATTCCGCCCGGAGCACTAGAGCAGGCCATAGACACGACAAACCATAGATACGGGAACCATAGACGTAGAATTATCTATGGAATTTCGCTATCTCTGTCATTAACTGCACAGAACACATGCGTATTGCGGAATGGAATTTAGAATGGGTTTAAAACACGCCTAGTTGACACGTATTAAATCTAAGATTGTAATTTTAATTCCTATATTGACTAAATATTTAAGTAATTTATGTATAGGAGAATTAATTATAGTAAATAATAGTTAATGAAGCTGTAGCTTAGCTTGTTTTAGTATACCTTTAACTCGTTATATTTATTGTGATGATTGTAAACATTTGTTGGTTTAAAAACTTTTTATCCCTGTCCACTTCAGTAAACTAAACAAGGCGTAAATGCAACGCCTAGCTGATATCTGACTTGCTTTAAAAATAATATACTAAATAAACAGACTACTGACGCGAATAAAATGAAAATAAAAAGAATTTCTTCGCCAGATGGCCCGTCGATCGAAGTATTCGGTTTCGCGGATGAATTCCAAACGTGTCCCTTAGTGTGAACACACATTACATTGTTACTATGTTGTTTATATCGAAGACTATCTTTCGCCCTTGACTCCGATCGTGTGGGATTGAAAAAACAAAACTGAGTAGCCTATATGTTCTACCAGACTATCTTCTACATCTATGCCAAATTTCATCAAAATCCGTTCAGCCGTTTAGGCCACAAACTCTAACAAACATCCATCCATGTAAACTTTCGCATTAATAATATTAGTAAGATTCTCAAATGTTTTTCACGTTGACTGTTTTCACTGCTTTTAGTCAACCTGTAGCTTCAATCTTTTTGTGATTTGTGAACCTTTAAGTATCCTAACATCGTACATCCCAACAGATTTTAGGTGGATCCCAAGGGAACAATCTGAGAATCACTGGTCTTATTAATAAAATGGATATCGTTACTCACATCAGTAATAGCTCTATTTTTGTTATACCGTAAATGTTTTAGTGTTTACGGAAATAAATATAAAGATGGGTGTATACTTTTTATATGCAATAAAAAATGTTTCAACGCAAACTCTTTTGTGCATAGTCATTTTTTTACTTGACGCTGATAGTCTCGACTATGAAAAGGATTATTCTTGTCGGTTTTTGAAACGTGAGATCGTTTTCGACTCACAGATATTTTAATCTATCGAGACTTCTTAATTCGTTGAGGGAGAGACATAAACAAGAAATAGAATACAATAGACTTCTGTTAAGTTCTTCAAGCTTTTCTATCTCTCCTTAAGTTACTCTCCATTCATGAAACTCTATTCGTAGGCACCTTATCATTCTTAAGCGTTCAATTATAGAAGACCATATTGGCTCGTGCCAACGGTTTTGTTATCAACGTTCGAATGCGGGAGGCAAACTTTTTATCGTCATTCACGAATAACCGCCAACGACGACCGTTAGCACCTGCCCAATACGGACGAGTATCGGGTGTACAAACAACCGAAAAAATCACCTTCTAATAGATTGAATACACAAGCACCAAAATAGATTTCCTATTTAAAGTAAATAATTTAACGCTGTCTATATGAATTGATTTTGTCAGTTATTACAATATTGTTGAATGATTGTTTTATATCGTAATTTTTTCGCGATCTAATGCAGTATTGCAATATGACCACGATCAAAATTCCTACATCTCTTTCCATGTTTAAGAAATTTTTGGTGCCAAAATCTTGTATTGATGATAATAACTAATATTCCGTAGTTTAATTCAAATTCATGACTTCTTATCTGAAATTTAATCCATCGGAGCTTTAAAAAACCTGTCCTAGTTAGATTGTAATATTTAAAGTAGATGTTCTAAGTGTGATAACACAGTTAATGGTGAGTTAATATTAGCAACTGCAAACTGCAGCCGTTTAGCTCGAGCTTGAGATAATGGGAACGAAACGAGGCTCGCACCGTCATATGGACCGCGATAACACCGGTCCTGACATGTCGAGCTCGCGCCCGCTGTTCAGCCGCGAGACGAACAAATATTTAAAATCCGCGGCGACCGGCGCGTGAGGGCGAGCGGGCGCGCACCGCGATCGCGTACACTATCTACCCGGCATAGCACCGGCACGTAATCACCGCAACCGGTTCTCAGACATTCTTAACGGATAAGAGGCGAGCTGCGGCCTGAAGGTGGAGGCAACTCACCGGCCGTTGGGCGCCGAAGGCGAGTGCACCAGCTTCACCGCGAACAGGAACTGTATCGCGCACACGAGCAGGCAGCACAGGTTCAGCGACAGAGTCAACGCGCACAGGGCCAATGTCACTTCGTACACCACCGCGAACTCCTCGGGCGCGCTCGTTGCCGGCGCTGAGATTTTGAGCAGGAAGAGTAACGCCAAAAGCGCCAGCAATAGGCTGACAAGGCACAGCAATGCCAGCGACGTCAGTGCTTCCTCCGTGGCTGCTCGCGAGCTGCGACTCCTCATGCCCACCGAGCGCGGCTGCAAACCCGGTGCGGTACCATTGGCCAGTTTGGGCGGAGAGGAAATGGGCACAGGCGCCGCCACCTGCGGCGGCGCGGGCGCTGGCTGGCCGCCGGGGCTGACGCTAGCTGAAGTGCCGCCCACCGAGTGCTTGGAGGAGTCCAGCGTGGAGACGTTAAGCGGCAGGTGGTGGTGCGGCCGCCGTGGCATGTTCTGGTATCGGTGGTCGGCATCATTAGCCGCCGGCGGCCGCGTCGCATGCTTCAACATAGCGCGGCGCTCACGCCGTGGGCGGCCATCCCGCCGACTGGTTCTCCGGCATGCGGCCGGTGAGGTGCGCGACACGATCGCTCCGCTCGGCGGGCGCGACTCGACTGCCGCCGGCCCCCTCGGCGCGGCTACCTGTGATGACGTCACGGTGCAGGGTGCACCGCCACCGGCTGTCACCACCATGCGCTGCAAGCTGCGTGCTACGACCACGGGACCAACCCTAGCTGGGGTATCAAACCGTCATCATCATGAACCTGCATCATACTCGAAATATTTTATTTACAATCACTTGTTGATGTTTTTTGCAGTGTTTACAAACTACGCGAATCAAATTATATGCGTGTGCACATTATAAAGGAATTTGTAACTCATCACACACAATCACTTTTATTGATACGGTTTTAACAATAGTTTTATTTCCCATCTTCAATATGTATCAATATGTCCTTGGCGGTATTTCCAAACCAATACGACTTAAGGTCCTTTAAGAAACGAGCCTATCATTTTCTCAAAGGCCGGCAAAGCATCTGTAGTTCCTCTGGTGTTGCGGATGTCCATGGGCGTCGTTGACCACCTTGGTGTTCACGCCGCTCGTTTGCCCCCTTTTATTTAAAAAAATAGTGTACTTAGCATTTGCATCAAACCAAATTATCTACTTGACAGTCATAACTGCTTGTCGTCAATTTGAGACGTTTTATCATCGTTTATATTTACTTTCAACTCAAACAATGACAAGTTGGTAAACGCAAATATTGAACGTTCATTGTTGTTTACGTTCAATAACATTATTATATGTTACAGTAATAATGTAAATAGGGTAGATAAAACTAATAATAGCCGATTGGCTATGTGATTACTTATTACATTTGTCAGTCTTTCTTTCTTTACCTAAAGTAACATCTCTTTTAGTTTAGTGTTTGATAATTGCAATCAGAAGTCATTACATTCTTATTCAAAAAAGCCAACGATTCGATTTTTGAACGTAACTTTTGAATATCGAACGTCAATTTACATTCCAAATTCAATTTGAACGGTACATTTTTTCGACAAAAGTCGCTCTCATTACGTTAGTTACGCAATGCGACGAACATTTCGTCAAGTTCTGATGCAATCGGACATGTTATCGGCCTTTCAACTAAGGACTATGTCTTACAGGAAGTATGGGTCAAGCTTAGATAAGCCTGCAAATATAGGGCAATGAACTGATTGGACTATGGTTTTGTAATTTTGCTTCGTGGGTTACAGTTAAGGACATTTATTTGCTACCCACTTCATATCAATATCATTTGAATTTTACAATGCATTAAGATCGAACCTTGTCATATGTGCTAACTTACACAGTGTGTTAGCTCATCAACTTGAAGAATTTTCTCATATACTGTAACATACTTACTTCTTTCATTCTTATAAATAAAACTGAGATAGCAATATACATATATGATTATTACGACAATGTAAGCCCACGGTTAGTACCTACATCTGCTGGACAGGTGGCGCTGGCGTATCTGGGGGAAGGTGAACACGCGACGTGGTGCGTGCGGGAGCCGAGTTTTTGTTAAATCAATAGAAAAAAGTGCGCCATTGGTTTTTGCCTTATTAGAATACGCCGTATAGATTGACACATTTTATTTTTAAGTAATAATACTCGTATATAGGCTTTTGTTCTGAAATCATATACAGTGTCATAAATATGCTAGTTATAGGCATAGGCCTCCTCCAAACTCTTCCACTGTCTGCTGTCTTGCGTAACCCTTCTCCAATGTGGATCGGCAGTCAACTTCAAGTCGTCCTCCCATCTTATTTGCTTCCATCCCCGAATCCTTAGATATATTATAAATGCGAAAGTTTAGGTGATTGGATGTTTGTTAGAGTCCGCCTAAACTAAACGGCTGTATGGATTTCGATAAAATTTGGCATAGATGTAGAGAATAGTCTAGAAGAAAACAAAGTCTAATTACTTTTTTTTTACTTTTTTAACGGACGGAGTTTCGGACGAAAACTGTATATTTATGGCATAAACAACTCAATTATTAAACTTCGAGTACCGCTATGTGTCTACCGTTAAAATAATTAAATAATTTAAAACAGCTTGATAGATTACCCTGGCTCGATTAAATTGCTGTTTATCGATGATTAAACGCGTTTCTTAGAGCACGCGCACACTTTTGATTGAATTATCGAACAACTGTTTAGTCGCGATTTGATTCCTATGAGCTATGGAGGTGCGCATACTACTCGATTTTTAGTTGTGCAACTAAACTGTTCAATAGACTCCGAAACAAACGACAATCGCACACCTGTAATGCGATAGTTTAGTCAAAGCTCTGCGCCCGCTCATAATATTAGTTACATTATGAAAGTATTGAATTATTATAATATACTAGCTGTTCCCCGTGCAGCTTCAGCCGCATGGAATTATGAAATTTTTGTTTTATTGTTTACATTTGTCAATTTATCAATAGCAAATATCAAAATGACATGACATGACAAACCTTGACAATCTTGCTTCCTTGATGTTGGCAGCAACTTATGGTCTCTTTCCCACATTAAGGCTTTTATCCAAAATATATAGCCCCTAAGTTTAATAGCGTAAACATATATAGCCTAATGCGTGACGTAAGTGTAGGGCTTTATTTTCAAATAATTATTCGAAAACTTGCTGTAATTGTTGACATCTTAGGCAACAAAGAAGTGTGTGTTTACGCTTCATTATAATAGTCTAGAAGTATAGATATAATCTTTTTCTATCGTACTAATATTTCTTCTTACTATAATTTGGATGGATGGATGTTTGTTAGAAGGTTGTCAAAAAACAGTTCAACGGATCTTGATTAAATTTGTCACAGATGCAAAGTACAGTCTGAAAGAATGCATTTACTTTATTGTTTCTAATTCCGCGCGGTCGCAGTCGCTGGCAACAACTAGTTAGAAACAACAGCCATTAGCTAACTGAGCAACCTAGGCTTTATTTCTTACTATATTTTTAACTAGCTGTTCCCATGCGACTTCATCCGCATGAAATTATAAAAATGTCATTTTATTGTTCACATTTTTGAAATTATCAATTGCAAATGTCAAAATTACATTACATGATGTCAAACCATGCAACCTTACTTCCTTGATGTTGGCATTAACTTATAGTCACTTTCCCACATTAGGGTTTTTATCCAAAATATTTACCCGTAAGTTTAACGGCGTGAAAACATATAGCCTAAAGCGTGACGTAAGGGTAGGGCTTTGTATTAAAAAAGAGTTATTCGAAAATATGGTGTGATTGCTGACATCTTAGTCAACAAAGAAGTGTGTGTTTACGCTTTATTATAATAGTATCGATTAGCTAATTAAAAAGCTAGTCGCTATTCGTACTTATATAGTTATCAGTAATGTTATATGTAAAAAGTGTTACATGAGAATAAGGTTGCAATCTCCGTCGTAACCACGCAGTGTAAGTACACTGTAATAGCTTGTTGCAAAAAATAAGCCATCAGAGTACAGCTAGCTTTAAGGGATGTGCGAAGAACATCACAGCGCTAATTACAATATATCACAGTTGGGGAAATTATTTTCCTATCCAGACTTGGTATACCAAGTCTAGTCAACAATATATTGTTGTCTCTGTTTTTTTCGAAGATAATGAAAGGGACGATGATATAAGAGTCTCTATACAATAGTTAAATTATATAGCCAAACAAGGATATCTGTGCAGCTCCAGTAGTAACATTCGATTATCGTTATCGTTAATCGAATAAAAATGTATGGAACTGACAAAAACATTCGAGAAGTCACGTACTTCTGACGTATTCATTCCCATACATTTTGTCGATTCTAACGATACCTCTTATCCAAAGTCACTTTGTCTACAAGGCTTATGAAAGAAGTATTTGCTATCGAGGTTAGATCTGGCCGACAATAAGTAAAAAAATGAATAGATTTTTTTCCCAGAAAACTCTTATTTTTATATAATAAGTAACTATCATTATTATAATGTCAAGAGCGAGTGTAATTACATTTCACTATAGAGTTGGTTTCCATTGAGTTTTTCCAACGTGGACCGGCGCGGCAACATTCTCAGGTAACTTGCTCTTCTTGTCACTGCAACAGCCTCGATAACTTATGGTGACCATAAAAATGAAGTTTATTGGGATATTCCTGTATTTGATGAAACCTCTCAATATATTAAGGCTTTTATTATTTTTTTGTTATCTAAAACGTTAGTAGCTTTTTGTTCATTTACTAATGTACCTTTACCAGTTAAGGAAGTCTTAAGTTTGTGCTAGGATATGGTTTACAAGAATAGTCGTATGGCGGGATTGTAATCCTCGACCACGTGATTGGAAATTCTAGGTTATTGGCGTTTAAATCTGGTGCTCTTACGTCACATAATTGTAAAAGAATTAACAATGAAAGAAAGAAAATAAATTCAAATAACACTTAAAGAAAAGTTCTGAAAACTCATAAATTCAAACTTACTAGCTCTTTGTTTATAATGATAAAAGGATTATTTATTTATACAAAAAGTTTCAACAGCTTAAGAATTAACCGGTTAAAAGCAAACAATTATTTAATCAAATAAAGAAATTAATATCAAAATGATTTCGTTCACAAGCTTATACTTAAGTTTTCCTTGTCACCCTACAAGAGATGGCGCTAGTACCAGTACTTAGGACATTGTCCTGCAAATGTTTTACATTTACGATCATACTATTTCAAATCCGGTTAACTTTGTTAGAATACTTGATTATCTTTTTACTATTCACCTATTATATTGAAACGATTTATTGGATATTGCTCTCAAAGATTAACTGCACGTAGAGACGTTATCACTTATATAGTACTTAAAAATTTAGTCTTATTAAAACTTAACTATCCCACAGATTATGTACAATATTATACTATTATTATTGGAATAACTCAGAAAAACTAACCGATTTAAAAAAAAAATCTTTCACCGTTAGATAGGTCTGTATATATTTAGTTATATATTTTGTTATTTTTTAATTTCACACGGACGTAGTCGCGTGCAACAGCAAGTGAACTACAAAATATAAATTAAGTACAGGATTAGTAAAGTTAGTCTTACAAACGCTTACAATTAAATTAAAATGAGGCATTGTTTTCATTCTTCCCTAGTACAGTATGACTTTTTCTTATTAGTCTTGGGTGTCCAGTTTTCTATATTTTCGATTGATTCCGATAGATGTCGCTATACTTAAAAAATCAAACTATTCGCGAGAATAATTGACACTCATTTATTTAATGATGAAATAATACTGAGATCCAAACATTGTATAATTGTTCGTATTACGTAACTCTAGGTCAGTGTCGTGTCGCGGATAAGATTGGTCGCACGTCAATCGCGACCACTGAATTTCCTCCCACTGTACTTACAACCAGTAACAACGTCGTAAGTTTATTTATTAAATAGTTTTTGCTATAGTTTATAAAATTATGCAATATATACTCTACATTACTCAGTAATAATTTAGCTTTCTAATGGCGAAAGAATTTTTGAAATCGGCCCAGTAGTTTTTGAGTTATCTCAATACAAACAAGCCGTTGCTCACGACTTCGCCTGCATGAAACTAAAAAGTAATAAAAATATAAAATATGTTACTGGTAACGTAGCTTTTTAATGGTGAAAGAATTTTTGTAATCGGCCCATTAGTTTTTGAGTTATTTCAATATATACAGAAACACAAATCTTTCCTCTTTATAATATTAGTATAGATGAATGAACTGTATTAAAATATAGTGTACTTTGTCTTTTTCAAAGATAGTGAGAGGAATGTCAAATACAAGTGTCACCACCGCCAGTGATCTGTATAAAAGGGTAGGCTTGGAAGAGGTCATTTTAAATTCGTTCTGATTTAAATTGTAAATGTTATGTTGTGTAGAAAAAAATTGCATTATCGTAAAGTTACTGCGTATCAAAAAAATATTTAGTGATGGTCCCAATTTAAAAACAACACTTTGTGTACGTTGAATGGGGGCTTATCTTTTCTTTGGAAAACGTAATGGAAGTAATTTTATATTTGGTTTTATTGAGGTATGCAGTTGTAATCTATATTAATATTATAAAGAGGAAAACCTTGTATTTTTGTATGTATTTAAACAACTCAAAAACCACTGCGCCGAGTTTTGTAATACAAGATAATGTGTGAAAAATTTAAAAATGCAGGTACTTGTAATTTTGTATTAAAAAAACTTACAATAATCTTTTGACTATGAATGTTTATATTTACAAGATAAGTAAGATTGTCAATGATTTGTACATTTTATAGTTTACTAGTTGGCGCACGCGAATCTGTCCGCGCGGAGTTAAAAAAGTAATTAGTACGCTATATGTTCTTGTGTTCTACCTGCATTTGTAAAGAATTTTAGTGACATCAAGAGTAACAAACACCCATCTGGCATTTATAATATTAGAATTAAAATAAGATAGAAAGGGCCTGTCCCACCACTGGCTGATAGATGCTCAAAAATGACGTCACTGCCAGATAAGGTAACAAAATCCGATATTTCCATCACATATTTTACTCGTTGGATTATCAGACAATTTATAATTTGGTGGGACAGGGCCTAAGTATAATTTTCTAGTGCACTAATAAATTAACTAAGTACATAATTGTTTGGTGCAATAATGTAAAATGAGACAATTTCCTTTACGTTAACATTCATTGTATTCTAAGATCTCGGTTAAATCTTATCTTAGAAACATGAAAAAAGTTTTATTTTTATACTTTTTTCATGCTTTCGCCCGCGACTCCGTCCGCGTGGAATTAAAAAACGAAAGTGAGTATCCTATGTGTTTTTCCAGACTATCCTCTATATCTATACCAAATTTCATTGAAATCTGTTCAGCCGTTTAGGATTCAAACTCTAACAAACATTCATCCATCTTAACTTTCGCATTAATATTAGTATGGAGTATGATATAAATTACATAACTGTAATTTTTACAACAGAATAATAACATTTGACAAACGTCTTAGTGATAAGATAACATTTATTATAAAATACTTATTATCAAATCAAGACGTCTTCGTTGTGACAAAGTAGCAACAAAATAAAAATTAAAGTTAGTTTTCATAACGAAAAATAATCTGTGATTAAATTAAGTGTGCATCCTTTAAACCACTGAAGTTTTTTTCTATATCTAAATGTGCTCTGCAAGTTATTATGGCTTCTTGATCCTTAATATTCAACCTTTTTAATAGCAAACAATTTAGAGGTTGTATAGTGCTACTCACACGTTACTGAGGCTCGCTTTTCACACCAGACGGTAATACGGATGTCGCCTCATCCGTCTGCGTCACAGTTATTACGAGCACTTAAGTTTGAATGTTAAAATACTGTAGCTTCTGCTAGAATTAAATATAGTAATTTTGTTACAGGCAACTAATGGATGTCATAGTAATAGGATGCGGTGCCTCCGGGATAGCGGCACTGCGTCGACTGCACGACGCTGGCCTTAAGGTC